ATGAAAATCAAGGATCTTTTTCACATCATATTTCATATGATTATCTATTTCAATGTAAGACAGTGATGGTTGTATTTTTCTTGGAATAGTTGATTTTGAATAAGCCTCTAAAATAGAAAAATAAAAGACTCAATGTATCTTTATAAATGAGGGTAGTTTCAATTGATATGCCATTAGATTGATTTACTTTTGAATACAAAATGGTCCTAGTCTTTGATAGTCTAACTTATTACAAGATCGATTAATCTTGATATTTTGTTAAAAAAGCCATATTTTATCTCTAATTTAAAAATTAAGAGTTTCTTTTCTAAATTTATTTAAAGATATTTTGTAAAAAACTTGAGCTACTTTTAATTAGACCTTAAAAGTTGTATGGAGCTATGAGAATTATTTTGCGAGATTTTCAGTTGCTAGATTTTCATCCTTTGGTGTACCTTATAAATCAAGCTTTAGACAGTAACCATATTTGGTATAAAATGGTATTTGTTGAATCAAAGCATGGAGAATATTTTTATAAGTAAAATTTTTATAAAATAAATATGAGATCTAATATCTTGTTTATAGTTGATGATACATTACAAATATTGGTTTAAAACTTAATTGACTTGTTTTTTTGACCATTGATTTGAGGATGGAAGGCAAAGGTAAGTTTGATATCCACCTTCAATATCTTAAAAATAAAATTTCAAAATTTTGATATAAATTGAGGTCCTAGATAAAAAATAATATCATCAGATAAACCATGACTTTGATTTATATTATGAGAAAAGAGCCTTTTTATTTCTTCTCTAGAAATTATTTTATTGTACATGGCAAAATATACCATCTTTATAAATTGATCCACAACAATATAGATTATATCAAATGTAGCTGATAGTAAAACATTAATGATGAAATCTATTAATATTAAAGACTATCGTCGCTTTGAAATTTGCAGTGGGTGTAGAAGTCCATAAAGTTGATGTTAATAATTCTTGAAACTTGAACAAATGTTACATGAAAGGACAAAGTCCTTCATGGCCTTCTATATTTGAGGCCATTGAAAATCTTAAGAGATAAGTTCTAATATTTTATTAAATCCAAAATATCTTATAGTTGAAAAATCATGATGAGATTGAAAAATACAAAGTTGCATTAGTCTTTCCAAAATATATAAACAATCTTCATAATGTAAAAGATCTTTAAAAAATTGAATTTATTATTATTAGGGTATTACTTGATATTACAAATTAATGAGTCTTTAGCTAACACTGTACAAATTTGTTCAAAAAGACTTGAATCAAGACATATAATCATAGAAGTAGCATAAAGACAAAATTATTTTGGCTTCATGAGAGTGATATATTACTAATTAAATGCTATTTTTTTGGCCTTTGGAGCAAGATATGATCTCCTTGATAAAACATGTGATATTTCTTGTTGCTTTCCTAGTCAATATGTAATCATAAAATCAAAACAAGATAATAACATATTTCAACAGGTTTGGAAGTAATTTAGAATTTGAGCTAATATGAAATATTCCAAGTTTTGGTACTCTGTAAACACAATCATAGGATGTTTAGCACCTTCAAATAAGTGATGTCATTTTCAAAAAAAGTCCACAATCGCAAGAAGCTCTTTATTATGAATCTTATAATTAATTTTTACAACTAAAAATTTTCTAAAATAGAATATAATTATATGTAATATTTTCACATCTAAACTTTTTAATTATTTTTAAGCTTTTATCTTCACTTAAAGCCATATTTAAAGTAGAGATGTATTAAAAAAAATAAGAAAAATAATTATGAAGCTCTTATAATTATAAGAATGTATTGCTAACACAAAATCTCAAAATATTTTCTTTATTTAAAAAAATTGAAGTCTTTTTCTTAAAAATAATCTCGATTTCAATTCAAAGGTTTTTTATAAGTCTTATGAGCAATGTAAACCTTATAAGTTAGATGTGTTATTCTTATATTATATCTACATTCAAACATCACTTTTTAGTACCATAAGATGTAAAACAAACATCAAATTTAAAATATGCTCAATCAAAAGTGAGTGTGAAGCTAGATCTAAATCTTAAAGTTAAAAGATCTAAAATAGTTATATCAATAATAATAAGATGATCTACTCTTTAAAGCAATAAAGACTGCAAAAACTTCAAAAAATCACAAAAAAATATTTATAAGACCATAATCTCTTGAATATAAAAAAAAATAAGAAGTCTTAATATTAAGTATTAATATGGTTGCACATGAAGAGAAGTATGGACTAAGATGTCTCTTTATTCTAATACCTTCAGCTTATTAGAAAATAATTGCATCTAATTTAGATGAACTTCATTTATAATCATCTTCATCTCATTTTCTTTTATTTAATAAAATATTAATTATTTTAAAAAAATAGGCACTAAAAAATCCTAATTTCTAACCTAATAACTTGTCCTAAGTCTTTGATATTTTTTTTACCATTGATAGTTTATTGATGTTATATTCTAATTAGTAATTAAGAACTATTTATTGTAATTTAAATTATATATTTTTTGAATAATATAGATGATTATAAAAATAATTAGATAAATGATATAGAAGTTTTAAAAAATAATATTCTTTTTCTTTAGGTTGCAAAATTTTATATCTTATTAAGAAATATTTTCTAATTTTACATGCTCATTAGGTTTTCCTAAATCAAATTGATTTTTGTTTCCAAAGAATTAAACAAAAAGACTTATAAAGTTTTTTTTTAAGTTGTAATTGTATTTTGATTTTTTAAAATAATTTTACATGTTTTGAAAAAACTAATCATTAACAATTTACCACAAAATCTACAAAAATCATCTACCAAATTTTAAGCTTATATATTTTATACAATTTTTTTTATAATGATTTAATTAAGAAAATTTGATCATTTTTCCTAAATAAGATTCTCAAGGTTATATTTAGGAAAAATGATCAAATTTTAAATGATCTACATTAATATTTTCCTACAACCACTCCAAAAGTATTTTTTATTTCATTTTAAAAAGTAGTTTCTACTTCTAAATTATCTTTGAGTTTTCTAATTTATTCAGCTATTCAATTCTAAATAATTATACTATTACAAAGTCTAATACTTATTACTTTCTTTGTATTGCATATACGTAAGAAAAAACTTAGGAAATTGGAAATAAAAAGATTATTTGCATTTTTTCAATCATGCATGTAAGATAATATCGACTTATTGCAAAGTCTTCTAAATTTAGAGGTTTTACTCCAACAAATCTTTGGATGTAACTGGAAGATTATTGTAACTATAGATTTTAATAATAAAGTTTAGATTTTTTATATAGGTAGTAATGAAGTTGTTTAAATTAAATTTTTTATTAATTTTTATTTATTTATTCTTTTTTTTGTTATATAGTTGTATTTGATTAAATAAGTAGACTAGTATTGAATATAATTGAATTGTAGACATTTGGTTATCTTGGTTTTTCATTGTTAGATGAGATAGTACAATCTTTGGCCGTATTGATAATAAAAACATATAATCTTTTAGTATTAACAAATTATTATAATTTATTTAGATTTTAATAGTATTTTTTATTATATCTAATATATATATATATATATATAAATATATCTAATATATATGTATATATATCTATATATATATATATATAGCGAGAGAGAGAGAGAGAGAGAGAGAGAGAGAGAAATAATAATATAATGACTATAAGAAATATTATTTTATTAAAAAATAATTATTCTTATATTATCTTAAAATGTGAATAATATTGTACCATTTAAAAATTCATCCTTCACCATTTCAAGTAAAATTAAAATAAATATATTTAATCTATTAGTATTGTTAAAATAAAAAGTAATTATTCATGGATAAAAGATACAATTTTTTTTATCTTAGATATTGCAAATACTTCATTAATATTTTTTGAATTTCTACTTCTTTTTTTAAGTTGAAAAAATTTTAATTTTAAGTTTTTCCATCTATATATATATATATATATATATATATTAGCTCTATTAGTTATTTTTACAAGTTATTAAATAATTTTCTAGAAATTATCTAATAAATATGTTATAACAATATATGTATGTATATGTATATATATATATATATATATATATATTATTTTTTCAACTTTTGTAGCATCTAATTGAATCAAGACAACTTTTATGTTAAGTAAAACAATATTATTGCTACAATATAAATCAGTAAGGAAACATTTACCTTTCTTTGTCTTTGTAGATGAAGTATTAATATATATTTTAGGCATATATATTTTTAAAACTAACTTAAGTTTTCTTTTGGTTGTCTTTACCTTCTTTTATAATTTTATGTCTTTAGGTGGCAATAGGGCATAGACAATGTTAGTAATGCACATTTTATTACCCTAAGACTTGAACATTATACTTACACATGGGTGGCTGATTTATACTCTATGCATATATTTAATACCACTACCTTATGTTTTTATCACAAATCTTGTGTGAGAGTATTATTACTGTGGTTTATCACAATTATTGGGCATTGTTTAATTATTTATCTATCCAATCTTGCAATGTCATAACAAAAAATGATAATGTAATGCTCTAAATTTGATTAATAGATAGTTTATCCCAACCCTATATACTTGATTATTACTTGGTTCCTTATCCAAGTGTGGCAGTAGAAAAAACTCCTCTCAAATTGATTGTAGCAAAAGTTTGAGTTGAATTTCGAAAGAGTTGAAGATATGTATTCAAATGCTTGCTCACTAGGCCACTCTCTGTGATTACATGATGAAGTCTACCATCTAATTCCTTAATTTGTGATATCTGTAAGTGTGACTTGGCTGCAAATTCTAATAACACAAACTTTAGTACTGTATTACGAAAATGCATAAAAAATCATTCATAGAAGATAGTTTACATAAGCTTGGTTAATTTTAGAATGATGTATTAATGCAAATTACACAATATGGCGAGAGGCGATTTAGAATCCCATGGATAACTGAAGCTAGTTCCACTACAAGTTCATATCGTTCACTTGCTGCTTCACCCATTCATAAATCAGTCTACCAACCTTAGAATACACTGATTTTAAAACGAATTCCAAGGTCGGTACTAGCTACCATGTGTTGTGGCATCAGCCAAACCTGTGTAGCCACATATAATAACCTTCTCTCAACTTTGCTATCAGCAGAACCAACAAGTAAATCTACTAGTTTTTTGAGAAAAGATGGTGCACTGTATACACCAACAAGGACAAGGAATGGAAGAACGACTCATACAGACAAGCATTGAAGGTAAAGCTAAGTGTTTGCAATTGTGCAGGGAGCTTGGACTCCTGCATCACCTTTAAATTCTCAATCGGTACAGTACAGCACAATGTAGAATGTGAAACGATCTCAACAGGACACTTAACTCGCAAAAAAACCCTACAATGTTAGCTAAACCTGTAGAAGCTCGGCAGAAGGACTTACATTTGGCGACAATTTACCGCTTTCCCTAGCTACCTGACAGAAAAGCTTCACGGATTCTTCAGGAGTACCCTGAACGACGCCATGGCCGACGTTCAGAATGTGATAATTTCCGCCTGCGTCTCTAATGTTCTGCTCAGCAGCCCTTCGAATCACATCCTCAGATCCAAAAAGAACCATGGGGTCAACATTGCCTTGGAGAACTGTCTTCGGGCCGAGAAGTGACCTCGCTTCTCGCATTTCAGTGGCCCAATCCAGACCCACCACGACGTCCTGATGTTTCCTCTGTGCAACAATATGTAGTTTGCCAGTTCCACCGTTCGCATGGAATATCAATGGGACATCAGGACGAGCGATCTTCACCCTATCTATCAATTGCTCTGCATAAGGCCAACTAAATTCACTGAATTGCTCGGGGGAGAGATGGTGCGCCCACGAATCGAAGAGCTGAACAATTTGAGCACCGGAGTCGATTTGGTGACAAACGTAGGTTACGAGAGCATCTGTGAGGTGAGCTAAAAAGGCATGCAAGATCTCAGGGTTGTGCATCATGATACTTTTTGTCTTGATGAGGTTCTTGTCAGACGAGCCCTCCATGGCATATGCGGCGAGGGTCCACGGAGTGCCGATGAATCCTATCAAAGTAGCTTTCCCCTCCACCTCTTTCCTCAGTGACGAGAGTATCTGTCTTATGAAGGGGAGAGACTGGTCCGGGTCGTCTAGCGTCCTCAAGTTCTGGATATCTTCGAGAGTACGAACGGGAGAAGGAATGACGGGGCCCTTACCCTTGACCATGGTGAACTCGATGCCAAGGGCTGGCAATGGTGTAAGAATGTCGGAAAACATAATAACCCCATCGGTTCGGAATGCTAGCCATGGCTGCAAAGAGAGCTCAATTGCAATGTCTGCCGTCTCGGACCTTTCCCTAAACGAAATCCTATCCGAAAACTTGCGAAAATCGGCCATGTAGCGTCCAGCTTGCCGCATGAGCCACACCGGCGTCCGCTCTGCCTCCTCTCCACGCGCCACTCTCAGCAGCAACGGCTCCGCGCCGCTCCTCGCATCGCTCCCCTCCCCACCGCTAGTAGCACGGCACGCGTAGGGTTTACAATGCACAGAGCCACTACGACGCATCCCGCAAGCCTGTTGCGAGGACCCAGACCACCCACATTGCGAACCCAGGAATGAAGCACAAGCTGAACCCAACTCTGTCGACCTGCAGGCCCCATCAACGCAGCTACACAAGGCCTTCAAAGCAGCCATCTTTCACCCAACAGCAAATCCTCCCCTCTAATTTCACATCCGGTAAGCTCAATGTCACACCACCTCTCCCCAGAAACTCCAAATTCACGCACAGTTGACCTATGTCACCGCACCAAATTCTCCAGCTTCTGCACACGCAGAGAACAAACAGTCTGTGCACAATGAGTCGCTAGCCCGCCAACGATCCTCGTGGCGGATGCAACCAACGAGGGAGAAGGGGGAAGCGAGCATGGAGTGAAGGCGACGCAAGGATCTTCCCTCATCCGAAGCTTATCCACAATCAGCCAGTCTTCCATTCCTGATCCGATGAGCCCAAGTCTCTTTAGGGTTAGAACTTCTTACTACACTTGTAACTTTTGGTCCTAGTTCTGTCCAACCATTTTGAACTTAGTCACTGTTCTCTTTGACGATTTCGTCAATTTTTCTATAATGTTATTTAATTTTATTTTATGATACTGTAAATTTATACCTTGCTTTTCGTACATTCATCCCTCTGCAATATCAGTGTTTTTTTTTTTTTTTTTTTTTTTTGTAATCAATTCAATACCTCCATAGCTTGTACTGAGCGTTGTTTTTCTGTTTTCTGTTTTCCTTTTGAGAAAAAATATTTTATGATTTTTTTGTAATTTTTTGAGGATTGACTCGTTTGGAACTATTGTTTGAATAATGCATGATCTATTATTGTGATCCAAGTGAACAAAGTGTGCTTCTGGTTTCTCCGAACGGCGCATTTCACTTGTTTGTTTCTCTGCGTTTCAGCTATAGACACAATTCTGAAGAAGGTTCAGCAGAGACACTGCCCAATGGGGATTTTGGTCGCTTAAACTTAATCGTTAGATGGCCAGGGCAGAGAGTGGCCGTATGAGACATAGCCGTGGCTTTCTTTGTGATCTTCATACCCGACAAATTCCCTGAGATGCGAAGCAATATCACCTTGCTTATAAACGGAGCTTCGGTGGTGAGTCGTTTGATTTCGTTCCGAAAAGATCTAGTGATTTCTCCGTCGTTCGTGTCAATGGGTTGTACCAAACGTGCGGATCCTGTAACACCCACTGTTACGTGCTGTATGTTGTGTTCATGAAACTGCACAATGCTCTTGATCTTGGGAACATGTTTGGTATATGATGGGTGAGCGCACATTTGTATTTTCGATGTGCTGGAACGAGTGCTTAGAGGGTTCATGTGGTTTAGCAGAGGCAATGTTGTAATAAAGAATTGTCACGTTCTGCAATGTTGATTGATAATGCCTTTCTTAAACCTCCTCTCCTTGCAGTTATGTCAAAGATGCCGAACACGTTGTCTCGACCATCTATTATGGGCTATCTGCGCCTTTGCTTCAATTCTGGCGATCTTGATAATTTAGCATGCTTCTGGATGACCTATCACCTTTCCTCTTCTTATTGCGGGGGCGCGGAGTGTGGCATACAACCGGCAAGCGTTGTGAAAGCTCCATGCGCAGGGTAGTTACCGGTTCTTGGTTTCATAGTGAGTAGCCACACTTGAAAGCATCGGAGTGTTTGCATGGTTCCAGTGATGATCACCATCGTGCTTTGCAACCGCAATGTCTGCATTGAGAGGTAAGATTTACACCAGAATTGACAAGCCTGCTCTCACGATAGCCTGCATGTTTTGCGTGTCAGAAGTCACGATTATGACTAGGATATTTTTTCTACACATCACTGTAAGTCTGTAGAGCACCTGATCGTACTTCTCGTAGTTTTTGAGCTCAATTGGTGCGATAATGAATGATACTCTTGGTAGTAAATTGATGGATGCAGAAATGTCTCTCGGGGGGGAGGAAATTTGTACTGGCACTTAGTAAGACAAGTCAAAACGGGCTTCAAGGAGAGTGCGCTGTTGTTTTTAAAGCCATTTAGTGAGCGACTTATCGCCTCATTATAAATTGTTCGGAAAAGTTTCTACAAGTAGTTATAAGAGACTAAGGCCATATCTAGATAATTCGAACAACCTTCCCCAAACCAGTTCTCGTACTGCTATGCCAATTCTCATTTATCCTGTTTGAGCTTCTCTAGCTCATTGTGCGGCAACCCAGCAACTATGCTTTTAAATGCAAACCAAATCAACAACTAAACTCAAAACTGGGGGATATCAAACTCCGTTTCATTGTGTGATTCCGTAATAAAAAAATCGTTTAGTCTTACAATGAATATCGTGTATTCCATTCGTATCAGTTGGCCACTTTGAAACCGACTGCTGTGCTGTGCACTGTACATCTGTGCAACAACAGTTCGAGTTGCAACATCTCCATCCAAAGTCTGACATACGAACATTGAAACTCAAAAGAGAGGGTTCTTCAGATTTTCTGTTACACCACAATTCTACTGAACACGCAGCGCAGAAAGCTGCTTGGATCTACTGTACTTAAAAGTCCACAGACCAGACACCTAAGTGATAATATCGCCATAAAACTTAATGGGGAAATTAAACCTTATATCCTCAGGTAGAGATCCCCCACAAAAGAGTGGCGCATGTGTACTAAAAGTGGTCGTGGAGAATACCGACTCTACATTACTACCAATGTGTGGACACTCCCAGGGAGTGAGAGGGCATTCAATAAGCAACCATAGTATGAGCTGGAAGCAAATCCTCACTCTCAAATCCTCACATCCCGCTTCTCAATCTAATGCTATGAGCCACGGTGGGGGAAAGTGGGGATCGCTCACCTCAATCTAACAGAAGGGAAAGGAATCTCACTAACGTGCTCAGAAGAACTAACGTGAAAAAATGGGTTCGAGGTCAAAACTTTGCCCAGTTCCACGGAGAACTAGAATCACTCAAGCGAATCTTCACACAATCGAATTTTGAGAAGATTCCTTGAGCTCAGCCGCCTTGCGAAGCATCCCATCGATGGCCAAGTCGAATGCATCTTTCTGCAGAAAGTCGGAGGCCAGAGGATGCCTATACACCACGCTGGGGATCATGGAGATAAGCTTCTCACGCTTCTTAAGCACTTCGGACTGGGGTATCCTCTTCAGGATATCTCGGACGACGCACTTTCCACTGGTCACACAATCCTCGTGTATGAAGACGGAGAAATTTTTATAATCTTCGGGTAAGTGCCAAATGTATTGCTTCTCAGCCGAATCCTCGTGAAAGAGGACGGGGATGCAACCCGAGACGATGGAGTCAATAGTTGATCGGCGCGTTGCTGTATCGCCGCGAGGTTGCAAGCAGAAATCCGCTGTGAGAAGGCTCTCGTAGATTGGCACCGGGTTGTGGCTGCAACTAATCTTTGCACAGTCCAGTCTCGCACATTCGGTGGTAGCATTAACGCATTCGTTTGACAGCATTCCTCGAATTGACAAATTCGGCCTCAATGCACCGGAGAACGAAAACAGTGCGGTGCGAACGGAGCTGCGCACCCTCTCTATCCAACGTTCTAAGCTCGCGGCAGAGGAGGGGTGGTATCCCACTGGATAAGGAATGGCTTGCTCCTGGGACCGCCATGGCCGACGCTCCAACTCCATAAATGTAATATTCTCAAATCCGGGAAGACCGAATAGCCAAGTGCCCCAGCCATCCGCAGACGGAGTGCCGAAGTCCCAACCCGTTCTCCCCGCAATCATGAAATGGTCCACACCACCGTAACGAGCCCAAGATTTAGCGGCCTTGCTACGCAGCCATGCCAGAACCTCGTATCCTTGCTTGTCAAACCTCTTCGTCGAGTTGTACAGATATGGCAAGGCATCAAGCCCAGCGAAGTACGGGATGAAGAAGATGTCTGCGTTATCCGGTGAGGTGGTCAAGCACGGGTAGTGTCGCATCCTCTTAAAGAAGATGACCTCCAACATGTACGCATCCGTGCCGTACCAGTCTTTTTGGAATATTTCATTTGTCGTATTCACCTTCTCCCCGAATCCAAAGTTCTTGCAATGCTTGCAAAAATGAATCCAATCCACCAACTCGCCATCGCACAATTCTAGCAATTTGGTATTGAACTCCTTCGGCATGTCGTACATATGCACTCTCCTACCGTCACAGACATCCCTCAATTGTGGCACATTAGGTAAGGAGTGAGTATCTACAGGAAAGGAGTGAGTGTCCACAGGTAAGGAGTGAGTGTCCACAGGTAAGGAGTGAGTATCTACAGGAAAGGAGTGAGTGTCCACAGGTAAGGAGTGAGTGTCCACAGGTAAGGAGTGAGTCTCTACAGGTAAGGAGTGAGTCTCTACAGGTATGGAATAAGACACATGAGGTAAGGAATGAGTCTCTTGAGGCAAGGAATGAGCCTCTTGAGGCAAGGATTGAGCCACTTGAGGTAAAGAGTGAGCCTCCATCAACTTCTGAGGGTTCTGAAGTTGAGACTCTGTCTGAAACTTGCCGGGACCGGGACTGATGTATGTCATAAAGAGTACTACAATAATCGCAATGAAGCACTTCAGGATGAGTCTCCTCTTCGAACTTTGAGCTCGGTGTTTCTTCGCAGACATCTTCGGGACATCCATAGCGTGACGAAGCTATCTAGGTTTAAGCAACACACCCCCTCAAAAGCTAACTATCTGAGTTCCGAAGCACTATCACTCCACGTTTCTTAGACAATTCGTATCGGCATCCTTGCGCAAACAGGCTAGGTCGGACGTCTCTAACATGCACCTCACGTGTCTCTGCTAATCGTTCGCCTGGCAATTGCAGCAAACAAAAAAAAAAAAAAAAAAAAAAAAAAAAAGTCACTGTCCAAAATCACTGAGAAGGACATGAACCCCTCGATGCTTCATATCTGAAGTAGGGATCGAGGTCTATAGTCCAGAGACCTCCTAGATTGGACAATGAACCTCTCGAGCAGGAATCCAATCCTAGAGTAATCACCTCCGGCCACCCAGAGAAAATACAACGAGGTATTAGCCGAACTTGTCACTGAAATTTTTCCAGGTCTTTGCACAACGAGAGATCAAAATTTCAACGGCCCCAGTCTGCAGATTAGCGCCTCAAAATTCTTGCATCGGTGATTGAAATGGCTAAGTACTCTTAAAGCACCAACGAGAACGCTGATTTCGGGAAACACGTCCCGTAAACTCTTACCAAGACGCTCCCGGGGAAATTTGAAAACTCGAGAGACTCCGCCTGCGGTGACAACCACAGCTGGTTGATTCACACGAGTGAACCTTTTGAAACACCATGAATTCTGTCAATAGAAGAAGTCGTTGTCCACCCTAATGCAGTGACGCGGTCTCAACATCCTCGTCAGCGACGACTAAATGGCGCCACAACCTGCCAGTCTCCGACCTCGCCTTCAAAAACTGCACGTCTCCCTTCAACCCCACTAAACCAACTTACCTGGATACACTAGTACCTCGTAAACAACGAGATTGTGAAGCGAGTCCAGTCCTCTCCCACCAAAGACCCAAAAGATCACTCAAACTCGCTCGTTGCGAAGCTTTTCATCACTTGTACACTTCCACATTACTCGTCGCGACCGATAATGAAGCGGTCGCATCAGACGGGTCTGCATATTTCTGCTCCAGGGGAGGTTTGGGGTCCCGATTTATTTGGAGGATACTTTTGCTTTTTATAGGTCTAGTTTTGCTTCCTCCATGCCCAATATTCGGGATTCCTGATTTCAGTGCTTGGAAATCTCGTTTTAAAATTTAGGCTGTCTGTTGAACACATTTAGAGTGGGTTGACAATATGTTCTCTTCTGAGTTGCAAGTACACGGGAAGTGACTCGGCATTGTTTCACTGTCACAAGATTGGAATAGATATTTTGTCTTATTGGTCTATTAGGGCAAATCTGCCGATTTTTCACACCGAGCCTTCACATCGAGTCGAAGTGAAATCTCGAAACGGAAAAAAAGTTTGGTCATTGAAGGGCGCCTCTAGCGACTAAAAAGCTTCGCGGCGCCAAGTATTGTGGACAGCGCCCCGTCAAACCACCCCTGCTTTCTAACGCTTTCCAAGGTTCTCCAAGTCAGCTGAGGGTGCTGTGTGACCACAGCAAGAAAGTCGTCACGTCCAGGGCGCTCATTGTGTAAGTACCGATTTTAACTCAGTAGATCCGCCTTCTGGGTACTTCCTTCTTCGAAAAATACAAGATTAGAAAAAAATCCCAAGGACTCTCCTAAAAATAGACGTGTATCCTTCACGTGAGGATGGTCATGGGCGTTGAAGCGCAAACACCAGAGATCGGGGTGGGTGAACGGTGCGCCAAAAACGCTCAGATTCCGGGCGCAACGAAGGGGGGGGGGATGGGATTGCTCAGGGGTCCAAGTATTGGGTGGTGCGCTAGTCGCGCCATCGCAAAGGCGAGCTTGCTAACTCCTGGCGGAGCGAGTTTACCGTTCCAATTTGAGTTATAGCTCTGACGTGTTTGCCAGAAGCGCACGAATCCGCGCGTCACGGCAGGAGTTGCGATTCCATCACCTCCTTCGAGGCTTCCCTCTCGCGGTGATTCCCAGCTCCTCTCCTCTGCCACTCTGCTCTTAGTATTCTAATTACGCTCCCTCCATCGCGTTCATCCCTTATTTATTTAGCTAGTTGGGTTGTTTATTTAGTTGTCTGTTTGTTTGTGGATTGTTGGAAGAGCAATCAACTCTGTTGCACTATAACCCACATGAGAACGGAACCCACATACATATCCTGCTTTGAATGTTGGCCTAGGAGACCATTCTCTGCATAATACCAAAACTTATTTATTTGTTTATAATTCAATAAAATAAATTTGGGTGAATTTTTGCTCATTATATGGAGAAAAGGAATTTACATAGAGAGCCTTTTATGGTAGGGTTCCTAATTTGTATATGTTATATGTAGCTTGAAAGAGAAGGGGGGACATAATTCCACTTCAAGGAATTACATCCATTTAATTTATTTATTTAAATATCTTCTCTAACCAACTTTTCTTTTCCAAACTTCTCTAACTAACTTTTCAGATATTTTGGCTTGTTTCAAGGATTTGTATAAACAAGGTTTAATGTCTTTCTTCATCATGCTTTGCCATATCTTATAAATTGAAATCAAATGCTTTTTTAGATTATATTTTATCATCATTTTGTAGTTTTAACATTTATAATATTAAATTATCATCATCATTATTTTTAAAATATAATAAGAAACTATAAGATAAATTTATATTTGATGTAATTTAGTTTATTACCAAAAAATACATTGTTAGAAGTTATGTGTTGTTGAAAGGTAAGACTAAAGCCCATATTAGATTAGATTGTAGAAAATTTTTGTTCTTTATCTTTAAGTATGTTTAATAATATTGCAATTTGAAAATCTAAGCAATTATATTTTGATTTTTTTAAGATGGACATGTGACAAAAATTGTTAGTATTATTGCTTAGTTTTTTTTTTTTTTTTTTTTTTTTTTTTTTTTTTCTCTCTCTCTCTCTCTCTCTCTATGTGTTAATTGAATATATTTTATGCTATATTAGCCAAATCAAGGTGATAATTTTTGGTTTTAATTTTTTTTTGAAATATTTTTTAAATTATGTTAAAAATTAAGATATTGTACCTTATTTTATTGGTGATTTAAATAGATGTAAAAAGAAATATCTATCTATAATAAATAATAAAATAAATTAGATCTAATCTTAGAATATATGCATATCTATAAAAAAAAGTGCCAGTATACTTAGATTGATAATCTTTTTAAGAAAAATATCATATATATCTCTCATAAATGATCAAATATCAAGAATATCCATGTATCATTGATTGTCAAGGACAAGAACTTGATGAAAAATCAATTCAAACAAGTGAGCCTTCACTCAAAGAAAGATAACTAAATATAAATAAATAAGTATGTATATTGAAAGAGAAACTAGAATGGCTATTGCCAAAAGTCAAGAAAACTAGAGACCCTTGAAACTAGACTAGAAGCAAAAAAGGAGTTGACAAGACTGAAGAAGGCTTCACTCTTGTCTCTATATATACTATCTAACTAGGGGCTACGTGGCGATGTTCTATACGACCTCCAATATGTGTTGACTTTGTAGGACACATGCCTTGACTTACAAGGCAAGTTTTTCTACATGTGGGCCACATAGTTAGCTTGATCTTCAAGCTAACAACATGTGTGGTACATGGCCAACTTGTTGACTACATTTCTAATCCAAAAAGTCAATTAAAGACACATATGAAGTCAAAGCAGTGTCTATGAAGCTTCTAGAAAGCTTCCATATTAAATACTATAGAATTAACTTACTTTTACCTACTTGTACATGTAATTATTAGCTTATATGAGTATGTCCGTGACATTACCCCCCCTTCTAGGGACGAGTTCTACGAGGAGCGATCATCATATATTGAAAAAAATCTATGACGTGACAAATTGTATTCGCTACATATTTTGATCTTTGTTCTCTTTGAAAATGATTGATAGGGCCTCTCAACCATCGGTAGTGTCCCATATCAAGGGGGGAAGACCACCCAGTTATTTGATCATTGTTGAGGCCTTCATAACTTCCTTTGAACAGAACATTTGGAATACCATGAGGAGTTGTTCCTACCTCTAGCAAAATCACCAAAGATCGGAAGTCCCTTCTCAAATCGTGATACCAAACGCGTTGTATCTCGCCATCTATTCGAGGAAGAACATGTCGTTCTTAAAGATCTTCATCTCGATTCCGTCGTCTTGAAGGTTGTGACAATCATAATGTCTCGCCTGGCAGGTCAGTAAATGAAGGCTCTTGAGTCAAATCCGTTGGTTGTTGGTTCTCCATCTCTTGAGCATCACAATTACAAAGAAACTACAAACAAGGATTGAAAGTAGAATGTTATCTTGCCTAGATGTTGTTTCTTTTATAAAAAAGATTTTCATCTTGATTTTGATGGATGTCGTCAATAAAAAGCCTCCACCGCCTTTGCTGCATTTGCAAGATTCTTTATTGGCTTCCATGTGCATTCACTAATATCATATCTGTACCAATGGACAAGATATTCTAATTTATTTCGGTGTCGCCTTGAATCTAAGACTTCTTCTACTTCAAACTCTTCATTATTGTTCACTTCTATAGGAGGAGGTGGAGCTTGTCGTCTTCTTGGTATGTCCACTATCTTGTATGGTTCAAGAAGAGACACATGGAATACTGGATGGATTTTCATTGACTCCGGTAGATGTAAATGATATGCAACTGGATTGATTTGTGCAGAAATAGAAAATGGTCCTAGCCTTCAATAGTCCAACTTATCACGAAGACGAGTGGTCTTGATATTGCGATGAAGTAGCCATACCTTATCATCCAAGAGGTATGGTGGCTGTTCCTTTTGATAGACATCCGCATTGACCTTTTGTTGTTCTTGAGCCTCTTTTAATTATGCCTTCATCGTTGCATGTAGCTTTGATAATTGAATCGCCAAAACTTTCGCAGTAGGATTATCAACTTTTGAAAAGTCAAAAGTATCAAGTCGTGGATGATAACCATAATTAGTAAAGAAAGGTGTTTGTTTTGTAGAAGAATGTACCGTATTATTGTAAGCAAACTTTGCCAGTGGCAAAAGAGTTGTCCAATTATCTTGTTGGTAGTTAATGGTACAACTTAAATATTGCTCCAAAATTTGATTAATACGCTCCGTTTATCCATCAGTTTCAGGATGGAATACCGAAGATAGTTTTATATCCACTTTTAAAATCTTGAAATGAGTCTGCTAAAATCTTGATACAAATAGAGTTCCCCTATCTGATATAATATCCTTGGGTAATCCATGATAGCGATAGATATTGTCAAGAAAGAGCTTAGCTGTTTCTTCACCTGTGATAGATTTTGTACATAGTACAAAATGTGCCATCTTGGTAAAACGATCTACTATCACGAATATAGAATCATAAAAACCTGAGATTGGAAGATCCATGATGAAGTCTATAGAAACAGAAGACCATGGTTGTTCTGGAATGGGTAATGGCTGAAGAAGTCCAAAATGTCGATGACGAGGAGTTTTTGATCTTAAGCAAACATCACATGATTGTACAAAATCTTTGACTGCCTTCCACATTTGAGGCCACCAAAAATCCTTAGATATCAGCTCCAAAGTCTTATTATATCCAAAATGTCCTGCTGCTGGGAAGTCATGACGAGCTTGAAGAATACGTAAACGTGCTTTTGCTTCTGGAACATATAGGTGTCCTTCGAAATAAAGTAACTTATTCTTGAATTCAAATTTAGAGGGATCATGAGATTTAGAAGAATTATTCTTGATATCATGAACAAGAGGATCTGAAGACATACTTAACTGGACTTGCTTAAAAAAAGTTAAATCAATAGTCAATGTTGATTTTATTGCTCGAAGATGAAATTGCTTTGGCTTCAAGAGAACCGTTCTTTGTTGCTCAAAAGCTGCATCTCTTTCTTTTGGTGCAAGATAAGAACGTCTAAACAAGTCTTCGAACAAACCTTGTTCTTTTTCTGGCCGATAAGTGATGATGAACTCGAATCTTGATAAAGACATGCTCCAACGAGCTTGACGACGATTTAATACGTATGCTGATATAAAATTTTTGAGGTTCTTGTGATC